CATAGCAACCTATATGGTATTAATGCCAGTGTGTACTCAAGGCCGAAAGCCCTATAGATTTCCTAACAACTTTAAAATCAGAAATAATTATGAAATGGACTATATAGTGCTACTGATTTATCACATCTTCTGTGTAATCAACAAACTCCTTGTTTTGACAGACCAGGGTAGCTGAAGGTTGTTTTAATGACAATTGGGGTAAAACTGAAATTCATTCATCAAATTTTCTTTTCTTCTCAAAGTGCTGCGTGTTTCATATTGAGAATGGAAATAACCAAATATTTCCCTATATGTAAATATTGCTAATTTATTTCATCAATCAATATTTGAATTTGAAAGTTTTATTTGATTAGATATTTGTTGTTATTATGAGCGACCATCCACGTTGAAGACATGCTTTCAACCAAGTCACCAAACCTTATCACCCAATCTATTGTCGATTCTTATGATAGGCATATCTGGTATGTTTGCTGGGGACCTTAGTCTGTCTTACAGACCCTGATACAAATATATATCCAATACAGCCCATGCAAGTCTATAATGTTTGGCAAGTCTAGATCACTGCAGTATCTGAAAATGAAGAGAGTCACTGGGCTCCTTTTTATTATATTTTTATTAAGATAACTGAACAACTGTTTTTTTATGTACGATATGTTCATTTCATAGACTAGATTTTAGTCTACTGGGGACCTATTCTTACCCTGAAACCCCATGGAGGAGGGAGCCTGCCCTACAAACACAATATGTTCCATGGAATCTTGGAACCCTACCTGCTGGACATTTACAGTTAGTAAACAAGTAACATATCTTTCTTCCTAGGATTTGCTGATCCTGAAGTTAGTCAATCCGGACAATTTTAGCAGGAATGCAGCTGTCCAAATTAATAGAGGATTTTCATACTTTGTTTATGTACACATGTGTGTTACCATATTCAACGTAATAAGCGCCCAGGGCGCTCTCAAAATTAGAAATAGGGGGTGCTTATTAGAATATTATTTTGAGTTGAAAGATCGTAAATTTAATACCCTGAAATGTTTACATGCGACGGATATATTTTTCCAGAATTTAATTGCCCATAATTAAGGGTGATATAACACACGAGTGCATATTATACACGAATAAAAAAGTCTTGTGTACATTGATCAATCGGAAGGGGTGCTGATTGGGATTGTTCACTAGCCAATATATTAGCAAATATCGCCGTGGGCGTTTATTAGAGCGGGGCGCTTATTACGTCGGTAATTTATTTTATGTTTGTCCACCTGGGCCATTATTCAAAGAGGCAAAATATCTCCTCAAAGAGTTTCATTATTTTGTGTCCAATTCCTTAAAAATAATCTTGAACTAAAATTTCTTACCAAAGTAAAACAAAACAAGTGTTCAAAATAAGCATCTTATCTGTCAAAAGGCATTTTAATTTTGATATGATTACATATCGACTATGAAAAAAGCGTGCATGCTCGACTTAATAACAACAGATCTCCTCAAGCTGTACAAACAAGGCAATGTATCATATATGTATATTTAGAACAGGCATCAGTTTGTGTACATGCCATCCGTTGTATCATTTTAATAAAATTCACTTGTGTGATGAAAGATTTTTAGTATATAATCACTGACAGTCCTTGAAGCCTGTTGGCTGTGACATGGACTACATTGTTCGCGTGGATCTGACTCGGGAACACTGAAGAGTAAACTCCGGATGATAAACAACACCGATATTGTCACGTCCCACTTGTTCCATTCAAGGCTCTGACAAGGATTACGACTTTTTGTCAAATTCTTACAAGGGTTGTCTGTGTGAAATGCTCATGTATGTTCGGTGGAAAGTATGGTGGGAGGAAGGTGAGTTGGTTTGTGTAACAATGGGGATGCGTCTGGGTAGAATCAGCTTTTGTCGTATATATAAACTTGTAATAAATGTATTTGCATGTCTTCTGTGTGCAGGCGCAGTGGGGTAGTCTAGTGGTTAAAGCGTTCAGCCTTTAGCCGAAGACCTGGGTTAGATTCCCCACATGGGTACAATGTGTGAAGACCATTTCTGATGTTCGCCACCCTGATATTGCGTTAATATTGCTATAAGCCGTGTAAAACCAAACTCACTCACTCATGATTGTGTTTTTTGCGCCTGTCAGTTCAAGGTAAATAGTGACCTTATGTTACGAAATTGTTGACTTGGGAATCTTGACAACACTAATTTGTTGGTTGGGGGTGGGTGAGTGGGTGTTAGCCAAGGGGTTAAAGTGTTCGATCACCACGATGAGGCCTGGGTTCGATTGTCCACATTGGTACAGTGTGAGCCCATGTTTAGTGTTCCCTGCTGTGATGTTGTTGGAATATTGATAAGCGTGTGAAATCCAACTCTGACTCATGCTGTGTCTGGAGTTCAGTGATGTTAAACAGGCAGGCTCTTCTACTGATCTGGAGAATCTGTGGGTTGTTTCAGGCCAAGACTTCAAGTTGATTATCATGCCCCTTTCTAAGGGCTTTCTGTGGCAGTGGGGTAGCTAAGTAGTTAAAGTTTTCACTTGTCACACCAAAGGCCGTGTTCGATTCCCCACATGGGTACAATGAGTGACATTGCAGGAGTGTTGCTTAAAGTGGTGCAAACCCGACTCACTCACTCACTCACTCATGGGCTTTCCACTCATTGTGATGTAAATGAAGATTTCTCACGTACACACTATGCTGTTACTCACTTTATCTTCTATGAATCTGGTGATTATGTCTCTGATGTTGACTTCTCTGATCAGCTGACTCAAATACATGAAAGGGGTTTGGGTAGCCTAGTGGTTAAAGCGTTCGCTGGTCATGCCAAACACCCTGGTTCGATTCCCAGCATGGGTACAATGTGTGAAGCCCATTTCTGGTGTCCCCCGCCGTGAGTTTGCTGGAATATTGCGTAAAACCATACTCACTCACTCGATCACTCGATCGATCACTCACTCACTCACTCACTCACTCACTCATTCACTCACTCACTCACTCACTCACTCACTCACTCACTCCACCCACCCACTCACTCACTCACTCACCCATTCACCCAATCAGTCACTAGATCACTCTTCAACTCAGCTTGAAGACAAACATACCCTCTTCTTTTTTCAGAATTGTTTCCCCCAGTGATTGGATGGTGCCGACATATTTAAGATACGGTATACGTGTTTGTAACAAGAGAACATTCATTCAGTTTGTACAGTATCCACTCTGGAAACCAAACAGTTCACGAATAGTTGAAGCATGGAAGGCAGAATCTAAGCTGTAAAAGTACAGTTGGAAAAGAATTATTGATTACATTATACATGTCATGGGAAATGTAAATGAAAAGAGAATTGCATATATTGCTCGACTTTATGAGAGAAAAATAAATCAGTGTTGTATATTGATGAAGACTTTCAATTCATTTTTCCAACCAATCAGAATTATTGACAGCGGGAGAAGCACATTACTTGAATATTGCTGTAATACTGACAGCCGTGCAGTATGCAATAGTCACTCTGAGAACAATCAAACTGGCGATGAATTCAACCAGATTTAAGGAAATTAAGTATTTTCTACAACAACACACTGAAATTAGGCCACACATTTTTTATTTTTCGTTTCATGGGCCCATTGCCCCAAATCAAAAGCATCCAGTTTGAAGAAATAAATTAAACATACCGTATTCAACGTAATAAGCGCCCAGGGCGCTCTCAAAATTAGAAATAAGGGTCTCTTATTAGAATGGTATTTTGGTGAAGAAAAAACAGAGTTGAAAGATAAATTTCGTGGTTTATGCTGACAGCCTGAAAATGTTTGTATACAACAGATATAATTTTCCAGAATTTAATTGCCCATAATTAAGGGTGCATATAACACACGAGTGCGTATTATACACGAATAAATAAGTCTTTTGTACATTGATCAATCGGAAGGGGTGCTAATTGGGATTGTTTACTAGCCAATATATTAACAAATATCGTTGTGGGCGCTTATTAGAGCAGGGCGCTTATTACGTTGAATACGGTAGGCATTGATGGGCCTACATCGATTTTTCAGTGTATTACAAAATCATTGTAGTTTGTAGACTCCGGTGACAAAGACATTCCATCTTCCCGAGGCAAAGGAGTTTACTGACTATAAATGTCCACTTGCCACCCTTGCCACCCTTGCCACCCTTGCCGAACTAGGATGGATTTATGGAGTTATATTTTGACTATGCACAGTCCAATCAAAATCGTGTAACTAAAACAACATCTGGTTCGTAAACTGCAGTGCAGACTTGGTTCAATTGCAGGATTTGCAAAGCATGTGTGCCGTCAACCTAGCATCAACAGATATTTTCCAAATCTCTTCATGTTTTTAATCAAAGTGCTCACATAATTTGCTGCACTTTGTGAAGTAAGACTTGTTGCAGACTAAGAAACATCAAAGATATTTAGTGGGTTTGTATATTTGTCAATATAATTATTTGCCTTGTTTCTGTACAGACTGCTGTCGTATTGCTGGCTGTGGTATAAATCCCACTAACACACTGACACTTATGATATTGTTCTACTGTTTTCCTTACAACTGAACCCATGAGATTCTGGGTAAGAATAGAGGTCCCCCAGCTATCTATGCTTGTCGTAAGAGGTGACTGAATGGATTGGGTGGTCAGGCTCAGCGACTTGGTTGAATGCATGCCATCGATCCCAAAGACGTGGATCGATGCTCATGATCTTAACCACTTGTCTGGTTCAGACTCGATTATTTACGGGGCGGTCGGGTAGCCTAGTGGTTAAAGCGTTGGCTCGTCACGCCGAAGACCCGTGTTCGATTCCCGACATGGGTACAATGTGTGAAACCCATTTCTGGTGTCCCCTGCCGTGATATTGCTGGAATATTGCTAAAAAAGCGGCGTAAAATCAAAACTCACTCACTCACTCTATAATTTACACGCCGCTGTCAAATGGTAGGAATATTGCTGAGTGCAGTGTAAGCCACAAACAAACACTATGACTGATTTTCTTTTTCCACAGAAGCATGGCACGGAACATGACACTGCCACAGTTCTGGCGATGGTGGTTGATGCTGCTGCATACATCCGACAGAAGAAGTGAGTGTTGTGAAGACAGTATAGTGAGCATTTTGAATGAGCAGTCCTATGTTATTATGGAAGTACATATCCATGAATAACAGCAATGTCCTGTGCAGAGTTGCATCCCTTGGGCATGCTAGATTGTGGGTTCGAATCCCGGCTTGCCCAGGCTATGTTTCTAGTTTTGGCAGCACCATGTCTGTGCTTGTGGGTTTCAACAAAGTGGTAAGCTGACATGCCGTGATGTAACTGGAATACTTTCCAAAGCAGCATAAAACTCAACTCATTCACTCGCACACTCCATGACCAACTGTTTTCATGAGGCGACAATCATTAGTTGTTTTCAAGATTTGCATAATCAGAAAGGTCATCTGTCCAAGGAGGACTGCCTCCGTGGTCTAATGGTAGAGCGGCCGCCCAGAGAGCGGAAGGTCCAGGGTTTCGATCCCCGACCGCGTCATACCAAAAGACGTTTAAAGATGGTACTTGTTGTTACCCTGTCTGGCGCTCGGCATGAAGGGGCTAAAACAAGGACTGGTCTGCTCGGAGTCGGTATACTGTGTCTGAGTGGGGTATTCATGTTAAACTGTGCCATGGTATCTCAGTGAGCTAGCACTATAAATCGGCATCAGTCCCAACTAGTACAAGCAGCCACACACACACATACACGTGCATGCACTATGCTATATAAGTGCAATAATCTTGGACGCGACGTTAAACCCCATTTCACCTCACCTCAGCTGTCCACGGAGACTTGTGGTGAAACATCTTCCATGTCTGGAGATTCCTGTGTTTGTCTTGAGAGCCAGCTATCAGTGAGTGAGTGAGTCAGCTGAGCTTAACACCGTTTTCAACAGTATTTCAGTGATATCCGCGTGTAATCTTGGTGTGAGGAGTGCCTTGAAGTGATGCAGGTCTCAGATGTTAACCACACACCTGGAAACATTATGAGGGCGAACTAGGATTCGAACCCACAACCCTAGGGTTGTGGCATGCCTAAGGGACACAACTCTGCACAGTGCATTGCTATGCCTTAGACAATTAGGTCACCTGACATAGTTGTTAAACCTGCAGTGTAAAACAATACTGACTTATTCACTCACTCACTCACTCACTCACTCACTCACTCACTCACTCACTCACTCACTCACTCACTCACTCACTCACCCAATCACTCACTCACTCACTAACTCACTCACTCACTCACTCACTCACTCACTCATCTCACCCACCCACCCACCCACCCACCCCTGAAGCAACATCTCCAGAGGTTGTTGACTTTGGGTTCTACATCAATAAATTTACAAGTAACACTGATTACCACTTCTGACTGCCTCTGTGGTCTTTTGGAATGAGCGTCTGCCCTAAAAGCAGAAGGTCGGTAAGAGAGGAAGGTCGGTGGTTCTATCCTCTGGTGGCGTCATACCAAAAGTAGGCGCTCGGCATGAAGGGAATATAACAAGGACAGCTGGGCTCAGAGTCCGTGCACTGTGTCTGAGTGAGGTGTCCATGTTAATCTGTGGCATGGTATCTCAGTGGATAAGTCTGGATTACTACAAACAGCTACACAAGAGCATGCATGTTGCTATATAGGTGCAATAATCTATAAATCGAAATTGTTAACCCGATTTCACCTCCTCTCACCACCCGATTACCACTTCTACAAACAACACAGAGGATCCTACTCTTTATAAATAAATGGAAAATTAACATGGCCTGCCATTTCTTGTCTACTCTCTGTATAGTTGGCGACGCGGTCGGGTAGCCTAGTGGTTAAAGCGTTTGCTCGTTTGCCACAGACCCGAGTTCGAATCCCGACATGGGTACAATGTGTGAAGCCCATTTCTGGTGTCCCCCGCTGTGATATTGCTGGAATATTGCTAAAAGCGGCGTAAAACCATACTCACTCACTCACTGTTAAGTTGGCGTTATTTCAGTGCCAACATGTCGTAATAAACAAAATGAACCTGACAAAACAACCAGGACATTAACAAAACACACATCAAAGTTAGTATGGCAGTCGATTAGAAAAATCATCTTGTGTGTTAATCCCACCATCGAATATTTCAGGTTTGAGAAGGGGATCAGTTAAAGGTCAGCGACATAATGGTGTTAAATAGAAGTAATGAAAGTCATCTACGTATAGAATTACACATCAAAACCTGATTAATGTTCCGAGAAATGGATCAAATATTGGTATGGTTGCTGTGCTTTGTAATTTTGCAATCTCAAATTTGATTGAAACCATTGATTGGAATATACGTTTGTGCTGGTCTTTGCCCCCTTGTTCCCGGTAGCGGAAGAGCAGACGTCAAAACCTGGCTGTTTATGTTGGACAATGGGGCATGACTGAAGCTCACTTGAACAACAAGCGACTGAAGGGAAACACTCCCTGTTGTAGTGAGCCTCCAAGCAGACTCAACGCAGTTGAAAGCATTCCTTGAAACAGCAGAAGAATCAAAGATGAGGTTTTCGTGCTGATAGGTATAATCTGGATCAAAAAGAGGTAATCTGTATCAGCACTGGACTCATTTATGTTGATCACGGATGACCACAAACGGAAAGGTCTTCCTTGTCAAGACCAAACCCAAAATGATATTTTCCCAGTAAACTCCAACCAACTCAAAATGATATTTTCCCAGTAAACTCCAACAAACACATGATGATATTTTCCCAGGAAACTACAACCAACTCAACATGATATGTTCTCAGGAAACAACATCAAACTCAAAATGATATTTTCCCAGGAAACTACAACCAACTCAACATGATATTTTCCCAGGAAACTACAACAAACTCATGATGATATGTGCTCAGGAAACTACAACCAACTCAACATGATAATTTGCCAGTAAACTCCAACAAACTCATGATGATATTTTCCCAGGATACTCCCAACAAACACATGATGATATTTTCCCAGGAAACTACAACAAACACATGATGATATTTTCCCAATAAACTCCAACAAACACATGATGATATTTTCCCAGGAAACTACAACCAACTCAACATGATATGTTCTCAGGAAACAACAACCAACTCAAAATGATATTTTCCCAGGAAACTACAATAAATTCATGATGATATGTTCTCAGGAAACTACAACCAACTCAATATATGCCAATATATTTACAAGTAACACTGATTACCACTTCTGACCGCCTCTGTGGTCTATTGGAATGAGGGTCTGCCCTAAGAGCGGAAGGTCGGTGGTTCTATCCTCTTGTGGCATCATACCAAAAGTAGGCGCTCGGCATGAAGGGAATATAACAAGGACAGCTGGGCTCAGAGTCCGTGCACTGTGTCTGAGTGAGGTGTCCATGTTAATCTGTGGCATGGTATCTCAGTGGCTAAGTCTGGATGACTACAAACAGCTACACAAGAGCATGCATGTTGCTATCTAGGTGCAATAATCTATAAATCAAAATTGTTAACCCGATTTCACCTCCTCTCACTACCCGATTACCACTTCTACAAACAACACAGAGGATCCTACTCTTTATAAATAAATGGAAAATTAACATGGCCTGCCATTTCTTGTCTACTCTCTGTATAGTTGGCGACGCAGTCGGGTAGCCTAGTGGTTAAAGCGTTTGCTCGTTTGCCGAAGACTCGAGTTCGAATCCCGACATGGGTACAATGTGTGAAGCCCATTTCTGGTGTCCCCTGCTGTGATATTGCTGGAATATTGCTAAAAGCGGCGTAAAACCATACTCACTCACTCACTGTTAAGTTGGCGTTATTTCAGTGCCAACATGTCGTAATAAACAAAATGAACCTGACAAAACAACCAGGACATTAACAAAACACACATCAAAGTTAGTATGGCAGTCGATTAGAAAAATCATCTTGTGTGTTAATCCCACCATCGAATATTTCAGGTTTGAGAAGGGGATCAGTTAAAGGTCAGCGACATAATGGTGTTAAATAGAAGTGATATTTTCCCAGGAAACTACAACAAACTCATGATGATATGTGCTCAGGAAACTACAACCAACTCAACATGATAATTTGCCAGTAAACTCCAACAAACTCATGATGATATTTTCCCAGGATACTCCCAACAAACACATGATGATATTTTCCCAGGAAACTACAACAAACACATGATGATATTTTCCCAATAAACTCCAACAAACACATGATGATATTTTCCCAGGAAACTACAACCAACTCAACATGATATGTTCTCAGGAAACAACAACCAACTCAAAATGATATTTTCCCAGGAAACTACAATAAATTCATGATGATATGTGCTCAGGAAACTACAACCAACTCAACATGATAATTTGCCAGTAAACTCCAACAAACTCATGATGATATTTTCCCAGGATACTCCCAACAAACACATGATGATATTTTCCCAGGAAACTACAACAAACACATGATGATATTTTCCCAATAAACTCCAACAAACACATGATGATATTTTCCCAGGAAACTACAACCAACTCAACATGATATGTTCTCAGGAAACAACAACCAACTCAAAATGATATTTTCCCAGGAAACTACAATAAATTCATGATGATATGTTCTCAGGAAACTACAACCAACTCAACATGATATTTTCCCAGGAAACTACAACCAACTCAACATGAAATTTTCCCAGGAAACTACAACAAACTCATGATGATATGTGCTCAGGAAACTACAACCAACTCAACATGATATTTTCCCAGTAAACTCCAACAAACTCATGATGATATTTTCCCAGGATACTGCCAACAAACACATGATGATATTTTCCCAGGAAACTACAACAAACACATGATGATATTTTCCCAATAAACTCCAGTAAACACATGATGATATTTTCCCAGGAAACTACAACCAACTCAACATGATATGTTCTCAGGAAACAACAACCAACTCAAAATGATATTTTCCCAGGAAACTACAACCAACTCAACATGATATTTTCCCAGGAAACTACAACAAACTCATGATGATATGTGCTCAGGAAACTACAACCAACTCAACATGATATTTTCCCAGGAAACTACAACCAA